TCCTTGGCCAGATGGAGGGTGGTGGCGATTGGGTTATCTGTTGAACTCGTGGAACTTGGATACAGATTTTTGTACTGATTATATCCCGTCATTATATCTTCTATACACTCTGGTTACACACATGCTTTTTTTTATTTCTCTTAGAGGTCATGTTTTCAGCCTTGTTAGCGCAGTAGGTAGCGTGTCAGTCTCATAATCTGAAGGTCGTGAGTTCAATCCTCACACAGGGCATTGGTTTTGTTTTCAGATTACGTAGAATTTGCTCTGGCTGGAGCTGCTGGAGGTGCTGCTCCTGATCCAGACTGAGTGTGGTCTCCTAGTCAGGAAGTCTAGCGTCCAGTTTCAGAGGGATGTCTACAGGCTCTGACTGGGTTGCCTTTTCAATCAGGTGCTAGGAATGATTGTGTTGAATGCTGGACTACAAAGATAATCGTTAATAGGCATGGGCTTTGTTTCAGATTTAGAATTTGCTCTGGCTGAGCTACTGATCCCGATCCAGACTGACTGAGGTCTACTAGTCAGGAAGTCTAGCATCCATGTGGTGAACTTTTCACTGAAGACCATTTGAACGCACGTGTCCATTTTGTCCTTGGCCAGATGGAGGGTGGTGGCGATTGGGTTATCTGTTGAGCTCGTGGAACTTGGATACAGATTTTTGTACTGATCATATCCCGTCATTATATCTTTTATACATTCTGGTTACACACATGCTTTTTTTTTTATTTCTCTTAGAGGTCATGTTTTCAGCCTCGTTAGCGCAGTAGGTAGCGTGTCAGTCTCATAATCTGAAGGTTGTGAGTTCAATCCTCACACAGGGCATGGGTTTTGTTTTCAGATTAAGTAGGATATGCTCTGGCTGGAGCTGCTGGAGGTGCTGCTCCTGACCCAGACTGAGTGAGGTCTCCTAGTCAGGAAGTCTAGCTTCCAGTTTCAGAGGGATGTCTACAGGCTCTGACTGGTTCGCCTTTTCAATCAGGTGCTGAGGAATGATTGTGTTGAATGCTGTGGTGAACTTTTCACTGAAGATCATTTGAACACACAAGTCCTTCTTGCTCATGGCCAGTTGGAGTGTGGTGGCGATTGGGTTATCTGTTGAGCTCGTGGAACTTGGATACAAATTTTTGTACTGATTATATCCCGTCATTATATGTTCTATACATTCTGGTTACACACAAGCTTTTTTTTATTTCTCTTAGAGATCATGTTTTCAGCCTTGTTAGCGCAGTAGGTAGCGCGTCAGTCTCATAATCTGAAGGTCGTGAGTTCAATCCTCACACAGGGCATGGGTTTTGTTTTCAGATTACGTAGAATTTGCTCTGGCTGGAGCTGCTGATCCCGATCCAGACTGACTGAGGTCTCCTAGTCAGGAAGTCTAGCGTCCAGTTTCAGAGGGATGTCTACAGGCTCTGACTGGGTCACCTTTTCAATCAGGTGCTAAGGAATGATTGTGTTGAATGCTGTGAATGCTCCTAGTCAGGAAGTCTAGCTTCCAGTTTCAGAGGGATGTCTACAGGCTCTGACTGGTTCGCCTTTTCAATCAGGTGCTGAGGAATGATTGTGTTGAATGCTGTGGTGAACTTTTCACTGAAGACCATTTGAACACACAAGTCCATTTTGTCCTTGGCCAGATGGAGGGTGGTGGCGATTGGGTTATCTGTTGAGCTTGTGGAACTTGGATACAGATTTTGGTCCGATTAATATCCGTCATTATATGTTCTATACATTCTGGTTACACACAAGCTTTTTTTTTATTTCTCTTAGAGATCATGTTTTCAGCCTTGTTAGAGCAGTAGGTAGCGTGTCAGTCTCATAATCTGAAGGTCGTGAGTTCAAGGGATGTCTACAGGCTCTGACTGGTTCGCCTTTTCAATCAGGTGCTAAGGAATGATTGTGTTAACTGTGGTGAACTTTTCACTGAAAACCATTTGAACGCATCGTGTCCATTTTGTCCTTGGCCAGATGGAGGGTGGTGGCGATTATGGGTTATCTTTTGAGCTCGTGGAACTTGGATACAGATTTTTGTACTGATTATATCCCGTCATTATATTTTGTATACATTCTGGTTAAACACACTTTTTTAATTCTCTTAGAGATTATTGTTTTCAGCCTTGTTACGTAGTAGGTACGTGATCTCATAATCTGAAGGCTGTCAATTCACACAGGATGGGTTTTGTTTTCAGATTACGTAAATTTGCTCTGGCTGGAGGGCTGGAGGTGCTGCTCCTGATCCAGACTGAGTGAGGTCTCCTAGTCAGGAAGTCTAGCGTCCAGTTTCAGAGGGATGTCTACAAGCTCTGACTGGTTCGCCTTTTCAATCAGGTGCTGAGGAATGATTGTGTTGAATGCTGTGGTGAACTTTTCACTGAAGATCATTTGAACACACAAGTCCTTCTTGCTCATGGCCAGTTGGAGTGTGGTGGCGATTGGGTTATCTGTTGAGCTCGTGAAACTTGGATACAGATTTTTGTACTGATTATATCCCGTCATTATATGTTCTTATACATTCTGGTTACACACATGCTTTTTTTTATTTCTCTTAAAAGGTATTTTTCAGCCTTGTTAGAGCTGTAGGTAGCGTGTCAGTCTCATAATCTGAAGGTCATGAGTTCAAGGGATGTCTACAGGCTCTGACTGGTTCGCCTTTTCAATCAGGTGCTAAGGAATGATTGTGTTGTATTCTGTGGTGAACTTTTCACTGAAAACCATTTGAACGCCATTGTCCTTCTTTGCTCTTGGCCAGATGGAGGGTGGTGGCGATTGGGTTATCTGTTGAGCTCGTGGAACTTGGATACAGATTTTTGTACTGATTATATCCGGTCATTATATTTTTTATACATTCTGGTTACACACATGCTTTTTTTTTTATTTCTCTTAGAGGTCATGTTTTCAGCCTTTTAGCTACAGTAGGTAGCGTGTCACTCTTATTGAAGGTCTGAAGGTTGTGAGTTCAATCCTCACACAGGGCATGGGTTTTGTTTTCAGATTACGTAGAATTTGCTCTGGCTGGAGGTGCTGGAGGTGCTGCTCCTGATCCAGACTGAGTGAGGTCTCCTAGTCAGGAAGTCTAGCGTCCAGTTTCAGAGGGATGTCTACAAGCTCTGACTGGTTCGCCTTTTCAATCAGGTGCTGAGGAATGATTGTGTTGAATGCTGTGGTGAACTTTTCACTGAAGATCATTTGAACACACAAGTCCTTCTTGCTCATGGCCAGTTGGAGTGTGGTGGCGATTGGGTTATCTGTTGAGCTCGTGGAACTTGGATACAGATTTTTGTACTGATTATATCCGGTCATTATATGTTTTATACATTCTGGTTACAACACAGCTTTTTTTTATAAACAAAACCCAGGGCATGGGTTTTTTAATTAGAATTTGCTCTGCTGGAGTGTATATACTGATGAGCTCTAGTCAGGAAGTCTAGCGTCCAGTTTCAGAGGGATGTCTACAGGCTCTGACTGGTTCGCCTTTTCAATCAGGTGCTGAGGAATGATTGTGTTGAATGCTGTGGTGAACTTTTCACTGAAGACCATTTGAACACACAAGTCCATTTTGTCCTTGGCCAGATGGAGGGTGGTGGCGATTGGGTTATCTGTTGAGCTTGTGGAACTTGGATACAGATTTTTGTACTGATTATATCCCGTCATTATATGTTCTATACATTCTGGTTACACACAAGCTTTTTTTTTTATTTCTCTTAAAGGTCATGTTTTCAGCCTTGTTAGAGCAGTAGGTAGCGTGTCAGTCTCATAATCTGAAGGTCGTGAGTTCAAGGGATGTCTACAGGCTCTGACTGGTTCGCCTTTTCAATCAGGTGCTAAGGAATGATTGTGTTGAATGCTGTGGTGAACTTTTCACTGAAGACCATTTGAACGCACGTGTCCATTTTGTCCTTGGCCAGATGGAGGGTGGTGGCGATTGGGTTATCTTTTGAGCTCGTGGAACTTGGATACAGATTTTTGTACTGATTATATCCCGTCATTATATTTTGTATACATTCTGGTTAAACACAAGCTTTTTTTTAATTTCTCTTAGAGATTATGTTTTCAGCCTTGTTAGCGCAGTAGGTAGCGTGTCAGTCTCATAATCTGAAGGTCATGAGTTCAATCCTCACACAGGGCATGGGTTTTGTTTTCAGATTACGTAGAATTTGCTCTGGCTGGAGGTGCTGGAGGTGCTGCTCCTGATCCAGACTGAGTGAGGTCTCCTAGTCAGGAAGTCTAGCGTCCAGTTTCAGAGGGATGTCTACAAGCTCTGACTGGTTCGCCTTTTCAATCAGGTGCTGAGGAATGATTGTGTTGAATGCTGTGGTGAACTTTTCACTGAAGATCATTTGAACACACAAGTCCTTCTTGCTCATGGCCAGTTGGAGTGTGGTGGCGATTGGGTTATCTGTTGAGCTCGTGGAACTTGGATACAGATTTTTGTACTGATTATATCCCGTCATTATATGTTTTATACGTTCTGGTTACACACATGCTTTTTTTTTTTTTAAACAAAACCCAGGGCATGGGTTTTGTTTTCAGATTACGTAGAATTTGCTCTGGCTGGAGCTGCTGATCCCGATCCAGACTGAGTGAGGTCTCCTAGTCAGGAAGTCTAGCGTCCAGTTTCAGAGGGATGTCTACAGGCTCTGACTGGGTCACCTTTTCAATCAGGTGCTAAGGAATGATTGTGTTGAATGCTGTGAATGCTCCTAGTCAGGAAGTCTAGCGTCCAGTTTCAGAGGGATGTCTACAGGCTCTGACTGGTTCGCCTTTTCAATCAGGTGCTAAGGAATGATTGTGTTGAATGCTGTGGTGAACTTTTCACTGAAGACCATTTGAACGCACGTGTCCATTTTGTCCTTGGCCAGATGGAGGGTGGTGGCGATTGGGTTATCTGTTGAGCTCGTGGAACTTGGATACAGATTTTTGTACTGATCATATCCCGTCATTATATCTTTTATACATTCTGGTTACACACATGCTTTTTTTTTTATTTCTCTTAGAGGTCATTGTTTTCAGCCTTGTTTGCGTTAGTAGGTAGGGCGTGTCAGTCTCATAATCTGAAGGTTGTGAGTTCAATCCTCACACAGGGCATGGGTTTTGTTTTCAGATTAAGTAGGATATGCTCTGGCTGGAGCTGCTGGAGGTGCTGCTCCTGACCCAGACTGAGTGAGGTCTCCTAGTCAGGAAGTCTAGCTTCCAGTTTCAGAGGGATGTCTACAGGCTCTGACTGGTTCGCCTTTTCAATCAGGTGCTGAGGAATGATTGTGTTGAATGCTGTGGTGAACTTTTCACTGAAGATCATTTGAACACACAAGTCCTTCTTGCTCATGGCCAGTTGGAGTGTGGTGGCGATTGGGTTATCTGTTGAGCTCGTGGAACTTGGATACAAATTTTTGTACTGATTATATCCCGTCATTATATGTTCTATACATTCTGGTTACACACAAGCTTTTTTTTTATTTCTCTTAGAGATCATGTTTTCAGCCTTGTTAGCGCAGTAGGTAGCGCGTCAGTCTCATAATCTGAAGGTCGTGAGTTCAATCCTCACACAGGGCATGGGTTTTGTTTTCAGATTACGTAGAATTTGCTCTGGCTGGAGCTGCTGATCCCGATCCAGACTGACTGAGGTCTCCTAGTCAGGAAGTCTAGCCCGCTTCAGAGGGATGTCTACAGGCTCTGACTGGGTCACCTTTTCAATCAGGTGCTAAGGAATGATTGTGTTGAATGCTGTGAATGCTCCTAGTCAGGAAGTCTAGCTTCCAGTTTCAGAGGGATGTCTACAGGCTCTGACTGGTTCGCCTTTTCAATCAGGTGCTGAGGAATGATTGTGTTGAATGCTGTGGTGAACTTTTCACTGAAGACCATTTGAACACACAAGTCCATTTTGTCCTTGGCCAGATGGAGGGTGGTGGCGATTGGGTTATCTGTTGAGCTTGTGGAACTTGGATACAGATTTTTGTACTGATTATATCCCGTCATTATATGTTCTATACATTCTGGTTACACACAAGCTTTTTTTTTTATTTCTCTTAAAGGTCATGTTTTCAGCCTTGTTAGAGCAGTAGGTAGCGTGTCAGTCTCATAATCTGAAGGTCGTGAGTTCAAGGGATGTCTACAGGCTCTGACTGGTTCGCCTTTTCAATCAGGTGCTAAGGAATGATTGTGTTGAATGCTGTGGTGAACTTTTCACTGAAGACCATTTGAACGCACGTGTCCATTTTGTCCTTGGCCAGATGGAGGGTGGTGGCGATTGGGTTATCTTTTGAGCTCGTGGAACTTGGATACAGATTTTTGTACTGATTATATCCCGTCATTATATTTTGTATACATTCTGGTTAAACACAAGCTTTTTTTTAATTTCTCTTAGAGATTATGTTTTCAGCCTTGTTAGCGTAGTAGGTAGCGTGTCAGTCTCATAATCTGAAGGTCGTGAGTTCAATCCTCACAGGGCATGGGTTTTGTTTTCAGATTACGTAGAATTTGCTCTGGCTGGAGGTGCTGGAGGTGCTGCTCCTGATCCAGACTGAGTGAGGTCTCCTAGTCAGGAAGTCTAGCGTCCAGTTTCAGAGGGATGTCTACAGGCTCTGACTGGTTCGCCAACAGAATGATTGTGTTGAATGCTGTGGTGAACTTTTCACTGAAGACATTTGAACACACAAGTCCTTCTTGCCATGGCCAGTTGGAGTGTGGTGGCGATTGGTATCTGTTGAGCTCCTGGAACTTGGATACAATTTTTTGTACTGATTATATCCCGTCATTATATGTTTTATACATTCTGGTTACACACATGCTTTTTTTAAAACAAAACCCAGGGCATGGGTTTTGAATTACTAAATTGGCTAGCGCCACCAACAGTCTCTAGCAAGTTACGAAGGGGTCTACACCTCTGCATTCTTCAATCAGGTGATGATTGTGTTGAATTGTGTGACTTACTGAAGACCATTTGAACACACAGTTTTGTCTTGGAGATGAGGGTGGTGGCAGGGTACTGTTAGCTTGTGAACTGGAAATTTTTGTACGATTATATCCCGTCATTATATGTTCTATACATTTGGTTACACACAAGCTTTTTTCTTAAAGGTCATGTTTCAGCCTTGTTAGAGCAGTAGGTAGCGTGTCAGTCTCATAATCTGAGGAATGTAAAGGGATGTCTACAGGCTCTGACTGGTTCGCCTTTTCAATCAGGTGCTAAGGAATGATTGTGTTGAATGCTGTGGTGAACTTTTCACTGAAGACCATTTGAACGCACTGTCCATTTTGTCCTTGCCAGATGGAGGGTGGTGGCGATTGGGTTATCTTTTGAGCTCGTGGAACTTGGATACAGATTTTTGTACTGATTATATATCCGTCATTATATTTTGTATACATTCTGGTTAAACACAAGTTTTTTTTTTTAATTTCTTAGAGATTATGTTTTCAGCCTTGTTTAGCGTAGGTAGCGTGTCAGTCTCTTAATCTGAAGGTCATGAGTTCAATCCTCACACAGGGCATGGGTTTTGTTTTCAGATTACGTAGAATTTGCTCTGGCTGGAGGTGCTGGAGGTGCTGTCCTGATCCAGACTGAGTGAGGTCTCCTAGTCAGGAAGTCTAGCGTCCAGTTTCAGAGGGATGTCTACAAGCTCTGGATTGGTTCGCCTTTTCAATCAGGTGCTGAGGAATGATTGTGTTGAATGCTGTGGTGAACTTTTCACTGAAGATCATTTGAACACACAAGTCCTTCTTGCTCATGGCCAGTTGGAGTGTGGTGGCGATTGGGTTATCTGTTGAGCTCTTGGAACTGGATACAATTTTTGTACTGATTATATCCCGTCATTATATGTTTTATACATTCTGGTTACACACATGCTTTTTTTTAAAACAAAACCCAGGGCAGGGGCTTTTGTTTCTTTTAGATTACGTAGAATTTGCTCTGGCTGGAGCTGCTGATCCCGATCCAGACTGACTGAGGTCTCCTAGTCAGGAAGTCTAGCGTCCAGTTTCAGAGGGATGTCTACAGGCTCTGACTGGGTCACCTTTTCAATCAGGTGCTAAGGAATGATTGTGTTGAATGCTGTGAATGCTCCTAGTCAGGAAGTCTAGCGTCCAGTTTCAGAGGGATGTCTACAGGCTCTGACTGGTTCGCCTTTTCAATCAGGTGCTAAGGAATGATTGTGTTGAATGCTGTGGTGAACTTTTCACTGAAGACCATTTGAACGCACGTGTCCATTTTGTCCTTGGCCAGATGGAGGGTGGTGGCGATTGGGTTATCTGTTGAGCTCGTGGAACTTGGATACAGATTTTTGTACTGATCATATCCCGTCATTATATCTTTTATACATTCTGGTTACACACATGCTTTTTTTTTATTTCTCTTAGAGGTCATGTTTTCAGCCTCGTTAGCGCAGTAGGTAGCGTGTCAGTCTCATAATCTGAAGGTTGTGAGTTCAATCCTCACACAGGGCATGGGTTTTGTTTTCAGATTAAGTAGGATATGCTCTGGCTGGAGCTGCTGGAGGTGCTGCTCCTGACCCAGACTGAGTGAGGTCTCCTAGTCAGGAAGTCTAGCTTCCAGTTTCAGAGGGATGTCTACAGGCTCTGACTGGTTCGCCTTTTCAATCAGGTGCTGAGGAATGATTGTGTTGAATGCTGTGGTGAACTTTTCACTGAAGATCATTTGAACACACAAGTCCTTCTTGCTCATGGCCAGTTGGAGTGTGGTGGCGATTGGGTTATCTGTTGAGCTCGTGGAACTTGGATACAAATTTTTGTACTGATTATATCCCGTCATTATATGTTCTATACATTCTGGTTACACACAAGCTTTTTTTTTATTTCTCTTAGAGATCATGTTTTCAGCCTGTTGGGTGCGCAGGTAGCGTCAGTCTCATAATCTGAAGGTCGTGAGTTCAATCCTCACAGGGCATGGGTTTTGTTTTCAGATTACGTAGAATTTGCTCTGGCTGGAGCTGCTGATCCCGATCCAGACTGACTGAGGTCTCCTAGTCAGGAAGTCTAGCGTCCAGTTTCAGAGGGATGTCTACAGGCTCTGACTGGGTCACCTTTTCAATCAGGTGCTAAGGAATGATTGTGTTGAATGCTGTGAATGCTCCTAGTCAGGAAGTCTAGCTTCCAGTTTCAGAGGGATGTCTACAGGCTCTGACTGGTTCGCCTTTTCAATCAGGTGCTGAGGAATGATTGTGTTGAATGCTGTGGTGAACTTTTCACTGAAGACCATTTGAACACACAAGTCCATTTTGTCCTTGGCCAGATGGAGGGTGGTGGCGATTGGGTTATCTGTTGAGCTTGTGGAACTTGGATACAGATTTTTGTACTGATTATATCCCGTCATTATATGTTCTATACATTCTGGTTACACACAAGCTTTTTTTTTTATTTCTCTTAAAGGTCATGTTTTCAGCCTTGTTAGAGCAGTAGGTAGCGTGTCAGTCTCATAATCTGAAGGTCGTGAGTTCAAGGGATGTCTACAGGCTCTGACTGGTTCGCCTTTTCAATCAGGTGCTAAGGAATGATTGTGTTGAATTCTGTGGTGAACTTTTCACTGAAAACCATTTGAACGCACATGTCCTTCTTTGCTCATGGCCAGATGGAGGGGTGGCGCGATTGGGTTATCTTTTGAGCTCGTGGAACTTGGATACAGATTTTTGTACTGATTATATCCCGTCATTATATTTTGTATACATTCTGGTTACACACATGCTTTTTTTAATTTCTCTTAGAGATCATGTTTTCAGCCTTGTTAGCGCAGTAGGTAGCGTGTCAGTCTCATAATCTGAAGGTCATGAGTTCAATCCTCACACAGGGCATGGGTTTTGTTTTCAGATTACGTAGAATTTGCTCTGGCTGGAGGTGCTGGAGGTGCTGCTCCTGATCCAGACTGAGTGAGGTCTCCTAGTCAGGAAGTCTAGCGTCCAGTTTCAGAGGGATGTCTACAAGCTCTGACTGGTTCGCCTTTTCAATCAGGTGCTGAGGAATGATTGTGTTGAATGCTGTGGTGAACTTTTCACTGAAGATCATTTGAACACACAAGTCCTTCTTGCTCATGGCCAGTTGGAGTGTGGTGGCGATTGGGTTATCTGTTGAGCTCCTGGAAC